TTTCAGCACACGAGCCAAAAACAGTTCGCCATCAGTGCAGTAGGACATCACTAATAAAATAAAACTTTGAAGCACTTCAAGTCTCGGAGTCTTCTTTTGTTAGGTTGTTAATTTGGAATCTTGACAGATAGATGTCTTCCTATCCATCCATCCATCCACCCACCCACCCCAACCCCTCAAGGGTTCTTCAAATGAGTGAGGAGGCCCAGGATTTCGAAGGCCCACTCGGCAAGAGGTCCCAACCAGAGATGGGCGGCTACTGGCATTCCCGCTGGTTCGGTGCGCCAAAAAAATCACCTTTCTGGAATGTTCTGCGCATGCGCAGAACCTAAAAACCAAGATGGCGCCGCCAACAATAGAACCAGTTCGGATGTGTGGACGGCCGAGTTACTACGTACTCGGCCAAACCGGTCTAAACTGTAGGAACCGACCTCTGGATCCAACCAACCCAAGAACTTTCCAGTATCGTTTTCACCCAGGAGCAGAAGAGAAGGTGTCCCAGCCTCAGGGTGTTTTACCTTCTCAAAGATGGCCTTGGTGACCGTCACGTACTGCTGGAGTTTCTTCTCCCGTTCCAGGCGCTTAGCTTCGGCTTGTTCTTCCGTCGTCTTCACCTTCAACCGTCCGTGCTGGAGGGGAAGCCAAAGAGAGGGAGTTGAGGATGAGGGATGTTGCTTGAGGGGAAGCCAATGAGGAAGATCAGGAAGGACCCATTCAAGGACCAGACCCAAAACTCACCATCTTGACCGACTCCAAAGGAAAGAGGCAAAGAATGAATCCCGTATCCTAGGAAATGGCGACAGGAGAAAAAGAAAGTAATGTTTGCAGCTCAACCGGCCCGCGGGCAAGCTGAGGATGATGGGAACTAGAGACTAACATCAATTAACAGAGTCGGAAGGGACCCTGTAGGTCATCTAGTCCAACCCACCCACTTGACGTTTAACGTCGTCTTGGCCTTCAGATGGAATGTCAGGCTTACAACCAACCGCACATTTTTTTTTTTAAAGTATAATTTTCCAGTTTTCCATTTCCCAGCAATTTGAATTCCTCCATGTTTTGTCTTCTCCCCAAGCCCAGAAATTTGACTGAGCTAAAAACCTTGGCCCAAAAGGAGGTGGAATCTGGGTTTTTTACAAGCTGGTGAGAGAAATGGTGCAAGAATGCGGAAATGGATAAGTTAACGTTAAGGATAAAGAAGATACAGGCTACTTTTTAAACATGGAATTTGTTCGATCAACGGTTAGACAATAAAGGTATAAATTGGAAACTGGAAGAATGCTATTATATACAAGAATTATTTTATAGGGTTTTTTTAATTTTTAATTTCAATGTTTCATCTTCCATTAAACAGTGTGCTGTCCGATTACAAATATTTCTGCAATCAGTCAACATTTACAGTATTCGTCACATTGCTAATAATTCTCCAATCTTACAATAATAATAGTAATCAGTCTTATAACTCTATTTATTTCTCCCTTTTAACATATAGACTAATGAAAATATAATAATTATATCGGATATAACAATCTTAACAATCGTATAGTAAGAATCATCATTTACATCTCTATCTTAACATATATTCTTTATTTCACTGATCTCCATTCATTTGTTTTTATTCTCCAACCATCCATAAAATAATTCCCATGTCATATCATATTCCATTTGTTCTTTCTCCTTTATAGCCGGCGTTAATCTGTTCGTTTCTGCAGTCTAATATTTTCCTAATCACATCCTCACCCGTAGGGATCTCATCATGTTTCCAATTTTGTGCAAATACAATTCTAGTTGCAGTTAAAACATGTATATAGTAATTATATATTTGTAAAATGATGCTAGAGAGACACCAGAACAAGGAGTTTTTCCCTGAATGCCATCACTCTGCGTAACAACTAATTCCACAACACTGTCAATTATTTACTAAGAATGTATTATTATTATTATTCTCTTCCTTCCTATCTATCTCTCCCCACTTATGACTATAACCATGTTGCTTGTATCTTTTAATTTATATTGTTTTTACTTGTTTCCTAGTACAATTTGATAGCTTATTAGTAACCTCTAACTATCACTAAGTGTTGTATCTTTTTATTCTTGATGAATGTATTTTATTCCCTTATGTACACTGAGAGAATATGCACCAAAGACAAATTCCTTGTGTGTCCAATTTCATTTGGCCAATAAAGAATTCTATTCTATTCTATATTCTATTTTATTCTCCCATTCTATTTGTTTTACTATTCTATTCCATATTCTATTCTATTTCATTCTATTCTATTCCATTCCATTCTATTCCATATTCTATTCTATTTTTATATTTCATTTTCTATTCTATTCTATTCCATATTCCATTCTATTCTATATTCTATATTTTATTTTATTCTTCCATTCTATTTCATTTACTATTCTATTTCATATTCTATTCTATTCCATTTACTATTCTATTCCATATTCTATTCTATTTCATTCTATTCTATTCCATTCCATTCTATTCCATATTCTATTCTATTTTTATATTTCATTTTCTATTCTATTCTATTCCATATTCCATTCTATTCTATATTCTATATTTTATTTTATTCTTCCATTCTATTTCATTTACTATTCTATTTCATATTCTATTCTATTCCATTTACTATTCTATTCCATATTCTATTCTATTTTTCTATTTCATTTTCTATTCTATTCTATTCCATATTCCATTCTATATTTTATTTTATTCTTCCATTCTATTTCATTTACTATTCTATTCCATATTCTATTCTATT